TTTCTATTGAGACAAATAATGACTATTGCAGCAGTAAATTCCACAAATTAATAATTCATTGCATAAAAAGTTCTGTTGCTTTTTAATTATATTCATTGCCCTATTGGACCTGCAATCCTGTATTATGGGAAAGGGTAGTTAGCAATCCAGATGGGCTTCTCTATTCCCTTCATTGTTATGGCTCTATCCTATCTCCTATTACTTTCCAAACTAAATAGTCCAGAGCCTTTTAAAGCTCTCCTCATAAAAACATAGCCCCTCCCCTCAGGTGCCTCTAATCATTTTCATTGCCCTTTTCTGGACCTTTACTATTTTTAAATCATAAATTTTACTTAATGATCTTCTTCAGCCCAGCAAGATCTTCCTTGAGCTTTTACAGCCTGATTCTCTCTTAAAATTCTCTGTTATTAGTGTTTAGTCATATTTTGTAAAGCCACTTAGCTTCAACCTGCAGCTTTAATTACGTGGTTGTGTTTGGGATTTACTCCCTACCGATGTATGGGGTAGAGGAGTTTGGAGGATTGCAAATGTAATTTTGGTAACATGCTAAACCCACTCCTCACCACCCCTGCAGCATCAGCCCCAGACTCTAGCCCCAGGAAGATTCTGTGGCAATACTGGGATTGTTAGTTCAGTACTGGAGAGCAGAAAGAATTAATCTTGGAAAACCATCAAGCATTAATTGCCCAATTCTGTGAATCAGCCCACAGGTTGGCCACGGGCGTCCTTCCTCCCATAGCCCACAGAATAGTGGTGCATCTTCTCTGTGCTCATGACTGTGACACTGAGGCTAAAATAGCCTCTGCACTTTCTGCAGAGCCTCTTCCATTGTGCTACAATGTAGATAGTGCATCCTCTTTACCCTGGCTCCCCCATCCCTGCTGTGCAAGTGTATGCCAGGATCCTAAGGAGCTTAGCTCTGTGCCATGCAGTCAGTAAGTGCACACTGTGCAGCCTCCCTAAAACTTATCTTACACACAGTTAAGTATTGCATTGACTCTGCTGTAAGGAGTTCTCCATACCCATGGAGGATAGGGCAGGATTTGCTCCAACATGAACAATGAAACTGTGTATGTTATTAGATTTCTAGATAGTGCCCGTGCTTACAGGGAAGTGCCCAAGTCTGTGGGGGCCCTCTGCTCTGCTGCTTAGCAAAGTTCAGACCCATTTTTACCTATCAGTGGGAATAAGTTTATTGATCTCCTAAATATAGACACAGATCTTTAGCTGCCCCATGTGGAATAACACAAACAGGTTTTTTGAGGGGCACTCATGCCTCAGAGCCCCTGTGTGTGGTAACAAATATAAACTAAAAACATCATTTTCAAAGCAGGCAACAGGTCCTACTAAATTCCAGAGCGTGGACACATCAAAGAAACAAACTACCACTTCCCATCATCCCGAAATGGCCAGGCTGTCCGGCTAGGGGAAGCTAGTAATAAAGGACATTCAGCTGACCAGTTCTCTCACTAAAAGTCTGGTGCTAATGAGCTGTTAGGGTTTCCCTTTGTGCACAACAGGTTATTAGGAAATACAGTCACTGCTATTTTCAATACAGCCTATAAATCCAATGATTAGAAACTACTCAGAGGTGGAAATTGTTCTATAATTTCTGCCACTCACTATGAATAAGTGAATTCATTTGTTCAAGAAGTACAACTTTCTATTCCTTTCACTATCTGTCCGAGTTACTAAGGGTTTTTTTTTGGCGACAATTCATTCATGAGGTTTGCTTTATATTCCTCAAATAATTCAAAAGGGTGAAAGGTGCAATCAGGTTTCTGCGAAGATTGAAAATATTTCACATACACCACTGTGTGGTAGGATTAATACCTCACAGAATGTCACCTGGGAAATACAGCATAAAAAAGTAAAGTTTCTACACTTTTCATAGATGACAGGTTTCAGAGGAACAGCCGTGTTAGTCTGTATTCGCAAAAAGAAAAGGAGTACTTGTGGCACCTTAGAGACTAACCAATTTATTTGAGCATGAGCTTTCGTGAGCTACAGCTCACTTCATCAGATGTTTACCACAAGTACTACTTTTCTTTTCATAGATGGTTATTCTAAAAGGCCTCCTGCAGTTTGGGTGATACAAACACTAAATTGATGATAGGATACTGTACACAGACATCCTGGCAAAAAATTCCATTATCTTTCAATACATGAGACAGACACAGAGTCACATTCTGCCATAATTTCTGGTGGTGTAAATCTGGAGTAAGTCCATTGAAGTCACAACAGTTACTCTGGATTTATACTTGTGTAATCAAGAGTAGAATCTGGGCCACATCATAGACAGTGCACAAATACACACATACACTGAAGTAATGGGATTTCTCCTTTCAACTAGCAGAGCCCTGGCTTTGGACAAGATTATTGGTTTGAATCCCAGTATCATTTTTATCCTTGAACTAATTTCTAATTGCGGTCATGCTACTGCTAGCCAACCTGGCAGCTGTAGTATTGGAATATATTAGTCTCTCATAATAACAATCAAAGCCAAAACATCTCAGGTTTACCTTATAGGCACATACTGGTGCCTGAAATTATTTTAGGCTGAGCATATTTGATGAGAGTGGCTGCAACAATAAAAAGAAAGATAGCCATAACTCAGAGTAGCCACATCCCAGTCATCCATAGCTGAAAGAGGTCAGCTGAGCACCTAGAAAAGTGGGAGGGTTCAGAGGCCTGGGAGGAAAGGTAGACAGGGAGGCTCTGCCATGGTGAAACACGGAGAAGGGGACTCTGAAGCTAGGTGGGAGATTGGGAACTGAGTGCTTGGAGGGCATTGCAATGGCTGGGTGGAGTTGGAGGTGTTTGGGAAGTAGACTTAGGGTTTACTGTTTGGGTGGAGGGCTGGATCCTGTTTGTGTTATGGGCAGCATTTTAACTAGAAACGAGAGATCAAGACAGGTGCTTGTCAAACTGGGGTAGCAGGAGGGTTCCATAGCTGACAAGAGGAAGGATCATTCCTGCTGACAAGGAAGATCTGGGAGTGGGTGGGCTGCAGAGCGTGGCGTGTTATGGGAATGTTGAGCTGCTGGGAAAGGAGTCAGATTAGGTGTTTGTAAATTGGATTTGGGAGGAGAATATACAACTGTGCATCCATTCTTGGCTTCTAAGGGGTGATTCACCCCAGAAGCTCTCAATAGCTTCTATGGCATTAAATTCTAGCCAGCACCACTATGAGATTTCTTAATCAAAATCAGACTAAGGATTTAACTTCACGTTGTAAAGATCTCTGAATTAAAATTCCATCTTGTGTCTCAAATTGAATTAACAGAGAAGGTGGAATCTTATTTTCTTTCAAAAAATTTCTCAGGAGCAAAGGACAACTGCGGTCATCAGAACAGAAAGAGATTTATTAAACATGTAGCTTTAATGTATTAATACATCTCTAAATATTCACCTACGCTGGCTTTTTGCAATAATTCTGAGACCCATGAAACAATCTTCCCAGAGACCCGTATTAAGGATACCCATCTGTGTCTCTGAGGAACCAAGGAATCCCGATAAGAGACCTTCTCTTCCTTCCCCAAGTTTGGCAGATAGACTTAGCAGAAAGGAAGCTATGTGGGTTCTCTTCCGTAGGTGGTACTAACCCTAACTGCCTCATTCCTTCTGGCTTTAACACCATCATTGCCTTGACTGCATCTGTAGCTGCTAGAGCTACATTGTGAAAAGCCACAAAACACCTACAGGTTTTTATAGATTATTAAACCAGTAATTCCAGAATCTGATTTTTGCTATTTCTACCCAGAACCCTTGAGTGTGGCTTTCATGAGCTTATTCTTTGTGTTCTTCAGAAGCCGTAAGCCCAGCTGCTTCATTTCCTGACCTGACAGGGGCCCTGCGGGTGTGAGATGGCTGAGCCCACTCTGCTGGTGCGAGATGGCTGAGCCCAGTCTGCTGGTGCATGTGTGAAATCCCTAGGTTTCTGTGAGATGCTTTTATTGGGCTCAGAAAAGCAAAAGTCATGATTATTTATTGAGGCACCATGGGGCACCCATGAATGTGACATCTGTGACATCTCCATTTAGCCCAGAAAAGGTACAGGACACCCACAATGCAAGTTTTGGATTGTGGCTCTCATGACATAGAGAGGCTACCTTTAGGAGTAAGAGGGAAGTTCATGGTCTACAGCCCATTCAATGCTTGGTCCCTCTGATGAGAGTGCAATATGGGGGCCAATTACAGCTAGTTGTCCTGAAGATTTTTTCTACTGGGAACTAGACTGAGATTTCCAGGTCATTTCATAAAGGCCACTGAACTTTCACTCACTATCACCAGGGGTAGGTCACCAGGTTATGTAGAGACAAAAGGGCATTGCCATGCCTGAGCTATGCAGCCACTGAGCATTTAATGAAGTCTAATATCTCTTTTGCTGTCATTGAGACTCATTTCATTGTCTGTTCATTCCCTCTGAAGCCCCTGGCAGTGGCCACTGTCAGAAGTCAGGGTACTGGGCTAGATGGATCTTTGGTCTGATCCCCTATGGCTGTTCTTATAAAAATGTTCAAATTAAACATTTAGGAAATCAAATCTATGTGTATCTCAACAGCTTTATGAAGCTCCTGAGATTAGTGTCCACTAAATTATGACCGTCCATACAACAGAGAAGAAAAAGCTGGTGGGATGAGAGAGGAGTACTAATAGTTTCCACAGCCATTTGCCTCTGGTTTTTCTTCCTAAGGATTAAACGCATGAGAAACTACAGCTGCCTCCCTTTATAACTTTATCTTCTGCTCAGCTAATTATTTATCTCTAACCCAGCTCTTGCTTCTTTACTGCGTGGAGTAACATTTATAGAATATCTGATGTACATTTACTCTGTGTTCCCCTTTCATGAATTGTTGGTATTTTCCCAGTCTTGGCTGTTAATGAAAGGTAAGAGAATCCCTTCTCTCACTGAAGCAGTGACAGCTCAGTCTGTTGCCATGGAAGTGATTTTGATACACAAATAGAGTTCTAAAAGTTCCTTTCATGATCAAACTACTAGAGGCTCCAAGCTCAGAGCAAGGATAAAGAATCCTGCATTGCCATCAAACACAGTGAGTTCAGTACAAACAGATTTTAAATATGAATTAGAATTAAGGAAATATAACTGCAGTGGTGGGAGAGAGTGACTTCTCTAAACACTGGGAATTACCCCTGTACAACACAATCAAGGGAAAATGCAAAGCAAACGAATATTTGTTTCAGGGGTACGTGTTCTACTGAGGAATATGATGATGTGATCAGCAAACAAAGTGGGTGGAGTCAGCTTCTAACTACAAATTGCTTAAGTACTACACATGGCTAAGAGGACTAGCGAGGCAATGCGTCAGGTGTAGGGCCAACCCGGACAAATTCAAGACCTTGAATCTCAGGATTAGAGGAGATGGCAGGCTCCATATTCAGGAAAGAAGATGCCTAGGTATCAGATACTACCAGTGACAAGAGTCATATGGGATCCTAGACAGAGGTGCTGGAACAATTTTTTATAGTAGGGGTGCTGAAAGTGGAAACCATGTATTTGGTTGTTGTTACTACTTCAAGACAGTATCTTCTTGCCATTTACTTTCAAAAGTGTGTATCTCAGCTCCACGAGAGCAACACCAGGGAGAAGTTGTGAGGGGTCGGCTCTATTTATTATTTTATTTGTGTTACCATAGAGCCTAATCAAGAACCAGGACCCTGTTGTGCTGAGCATTGTACAAACAAAGAACAAAACAAACAAGTCTGTGCCCCAAAGAGTTTACAATCTAAGGATAAGACCAGAGACAACAGATGGGTACAGACAGGCCGATGGGGGAGTACAAGGAAACACTGAGACGATATTGGGCAGTGTAATAGGTAGTGGTCTCAGTGCACCAGCAGTCCAGCTGATGTGTGTGCTACCATTACCCTCTGTTGGGTGGATGGATGTGGGAAGGAGAACTGCAACACCTGGAATAAAACTACTGAGGGAAGATTGTGGACAAATCAGTGGTCACCAAAACAAGAAAGGAGGAATGTGCAAAGTGTGACATGCCCTGAGCAGGGGTGACATTTCATGATGCAACTGCCTTCTGCTGTGACACATTCATTCCTTATGACTCTGCCCTCTTGTGGAGACTCTGGAGACTGCCCTTTCACTCCTACAAAAACCCTGGGTCTCTCTGTGCTGCAGGACAAGGTGTGTGGTCTCCTGATGAACGTGTCCCTCTGGGTCGGGGAAGCAAGTAGCAGAGGTCAGCATGTTTCAGCTCTGCAGTGCAGGAATTACCTAGAAAGCAGCAAGAAGAACAGGTGACTCCACCATGTCTATGTCTTTGTCCATAAGCCCAGCAGACCCAGCAATCTGTCGGGCTCAACGGGTAGTTATCAACGGCTCCATGTCTAGTTGGCAGCCGGTATCAAGTGGAGTGCCCCAAGGGTCGGTCCTGGGGCCGGTTTTGTTCAATATCTTCATAAATGATCTGGAGGATGGTGTGGATTGCACTCTCAGCAAATTTGCGGATGATACTAAACTGGGAGGAGTGGTAGATACGCTGGAGGGGAGGGATAGGATACAGAAGGACCTAGACAAATTGGAGGATTGGGCCAAAAGAAATCTGATGAGGTTCAATAAGGATAAGTGCAGGGTCCTGCACTTAGGACGGAAGAACCCAATGCACAGCTACAGACTAGGGGCCGAATGGCTAGGCAGCAGTTCTGCGGAAAAGGACCTAGGGGTGACAGTGGACGAGAAGCTGGATATGAGTCAGCCGTGTGCCCTTGTTGCCAAGAAGGCCAATGGCATTTTGGGATGTATAAGTAGGGGCATAGCGAGCAGATCGAGGGACGTGATCGTTCCCCTCTATTCGACATTGGTGAGGCCTCATCTGGAGTACTGTGTCCAGTTTTGGGCCCCACACTTCAAGAAGGATGTGGATAAATTGGAGAGAGTCCAGCGAAGGGCAACAAAAATGATTAGGGGTCTAGAACACATGACTTATGAGGAGAGGCTGAGGGAGCTGGGATTGTTTAGCCTGCAGAAGAGAAGAATGAGGGGGGATTTGATAGCTGCTTTCAACTACCTGAAAGGGGGTTCCAAAGAGGATGGCTCTAGACTGTTCTCAATGGTAGCAGATGACAGAACGAGGAGTAATGGTCTCAAGTTGCAGTGGGGGAGGTTTAGATTGGATATTAGGAAAAACTTTTTCACTAAGAGGGTGGTGAAACACTGGAATGCGTTACCTAGGGAGGTGGTAGAATCTCCTTCCTTAGAGGTTTTTAAGGTCAGGCTTGAGAAAGCCCTGGCTGGGATGATTTAACTGGGATTTGGTCCTGCTTCGAGCAGGGGGTTGGACTAGATGACCTTCTGGGGTCCCTTCCAACCCTTATATTCTATGATTCTATGACAATCTGGCCCAGAAGTTGGGATTTTAAGATTGTCAGAGCCCAAGTAGAAGGTGGTGCTGAAAGGCATTTGGGTATGGTTTGGTTTGTAATATCAAAGGCTCATTTAAATCAGGGAGGAGCATCGAAGTTTGGACCACTGTTGCTCTCCCGATAGCATTACTGCAGCCAGGGGGTGCTGTTCTATTAAGTACAGTTAAAGACACAAACTATCCAAGGCTCACTAAACTGACATAGCTCCAGACTGCAAACCAGGCAAATGATGAATTGTGGAAAGCTTGAAAAGCTTAAAACTGATTTTTATGATCATGCAATTATAATAGTGAGATTTCCTGCAATTGTTTTAGAGGGAATCATGATTAAATAGGGCTGTATGTTTTTTTAATGTGCTCCCCAGTTCCTCTTTAATACCTTGGTAGGACAAGATAAAGTGTAATCACTAACGTAATTGTAGTGCTCTACATTTTATGTCTCAAAAGAATGACTAGGGGTTACAGAGACACTGCAGGGCAAGGTTTGGATTACAAAATACAGTTTTTCCCTTTGTTGTTTTCTTTCTTAATTCCTCTTTATCTTTTTTCATCCTCCCATAGCTTCTGGGGTTGACTGATAGCACGGGAAGAAGCGTGCAGGTTAACTCTGCCTATACTGTACCTGTTACACTAATGACACAGGCAAATTCCAGATGCTTTTTGTGCTTTTCTTTCTCACCTCCCTAAAAAAGAGGGCTGCAAAGCAATGTCCTTGCCTGAAATACCAAGTTGTCCCTGCAACCTGCCTGGAAAGACATTCTGAATACTAACATGAATCAAATCCCAATCTCTAATACCTTGTCATTTATGACTATAAAGGCACCTCCTGTAGGTAAGATCCCAAACAGTACCTAATGGCAGAGCCTCAAACATGACAAGCTTAGGAGAGTGCAATAAGGAAACGGTCTTTAAATCTTTCTCTGCCCCTCGAACTTCTCTGTTTCTGTTGAGATACTGGAAACAGATCTAGACAGGAACAGTTCATTCAGCTCTACTGCAGAACAAGCAGGTGATCCAAAGGGCATCCACATCATGAAGGAGACACTGCTGTCAGTCCCAGATTGTGGGGGGTTTAACATCTACAGTGTCTGATTAAAAGCTGCTTTTTGTCTTTACCTCAAAAATCACCTTTACCTTATTAAGTACAAATACACCAGGAGGAAACATAAATAAGATTTGAAACCCTGACAAATGATTTAAAACTACCCATGAGAAAAGAGAAGTGGTGAAAATGAGAATGGCTGGCATTTAACTCACACTGGGAAATGCCAGGGGACTCTCCTAAACAACTTGGAGAAGGCCCAAGGTGGCCTCAGGGATGTAGCAATAATTTGAGCTGCCATGACCAAAGACAACCCCACCATTTCAAATTAATGAGTAGTACCAGCCTAGAGAAAAGTGAGGGGATCACTGAGTGAGTCTTTCTTTGTACACAAGCCTGACATCCATCCACCCAACAGAGGGTAATGGTAGCACACACATCAGCTGGACTGCTGGTGCACTGAGACCACTACCTATTACACTGCCCAATATCGTCTCAGTGTTTCCTTGTACTCCCCCATCGGCCTGTCTGTACCCATCCGTTGTCTCTGGTCTTATCCTTAGATTGTAAACTCTTTGGGGCACAGACTTGTTTGTTTTGTTCTTTGTTTGTACAATGCTCAGCACAACAGGGTCCTGGTTCTTGATTAGGCTCTATGGTAACACAAATAAAATAATAAATAATAAAAATTAAAATAATAATAGCTGTCTCCCTGAAAAGTTATTGAGTGGGATGTATGGACTATTTTACATAGAAAACCCTTCTGGCTTTATGATCTATGAATCGATGTGACTGTTAGCCGGTCAGATACTCAGATATTACACTGCTGGGGGCCACATGAGTACTGATAGACAGATAGACACTCAGTCACTGGCCTCGCAGCAAGAGTATTCTTCTTGAGTAAAGATGATAGGTTAGCAGCACAGATGTGGTATATTTACTGCCTTTCATCAATATACATGACACAGGCATGCTAAGAATAATTCTCCCAAGGAACCTGTCTTGCTGAAAGACTTGAAAAGAGCCATTTGTCCTAACTGGCTGAAACTATCATGTATACTGATATCCTTTGCTTTCTGCTTGGTCTCTGAATCAGAAAGCAACATTTTGTCATGCAAACTATACCTAGGAAATGGTTCTGGTCACAGTAGTAACGTTACTAACAACAATCTTCTTTAGCAGCCTTTAAGTACCTCTTCTCTCCACTTTTTGAACGAGGGGACGGGCTGCTTACATTGCACACTCCTCTCAATACATATGGATATACAGTCAGATTCCACTCAGTGTGCGTGTTACTTACACATACATTTTTAGACACTTGAAGAATATGCATCTGTAGTTAACTTCGAACCAGAGTTTGCAACATCCTTAAACGAAGAAGGACCAAACTTTGACACTGCAAGGTGTGAATAATAGGGATCTACTTTCCTACTTACTTTCCTTCATCTGCTTTAGTTGTAGCAGAGGTAAACCATAGGCTCCAAAATGTAAAGGTGACAAGCAGGCTCTGTTGTGCATTTCTTTGTGAGACAGTGACATACCTCCAGCTCAGAGACCTGCACAGCAGTGGGTCATGAGGTCACACAGACACATGCAAACATAACTTTCAACGTTA